TCTGCGCATGGAGAATCTGGAGAGGCTCAGGATGCTTTACCAGACTTACCCTTGGATTTGCTTATCTAGCAGCAGATCCTGAATGTACCCTTCAGGGAGAGATCGCATACTTTTCTGCTTTCCTGGCTAGCCCTACATTTGTCACTCTTATTAATGGAGCCTTCTCCAGGATGCTGAATGCTTGTTTTAGAGTGAATCATTGCTATAGATTTTTTTCCTACAAATTTATTGCATGATGTATGGAAATGAGAGCTACAGTATCTGATGTCAGGTGGTTGTTAAGCACCCCTAGGTTTTCTTTTAACATTTGTTTTTAACTATAGCACATTTAGGCCAAGGCAGGAAGATCGTTTAAAACCAGGAGTTTGTGACCAGCCTGGACCATTCCTGTCTCTACCTCTACAAGAAATTTAAAAATTAGCCAGACCTGCTGGCATGTGCCTGAAGTCCCAGCAACTCTGGAGGCTGAGTCAATAGGAGGATCACTTGAGCCCAGGAGATCAAGGCTGCAATGAGCTGTGATTGCACCACTGCACTCCAGCCTGGGGGACAGAGCATGGCTCTGTCTCAAAATAAATAAATAAGAATAAATTTAAGAAAAATTAGAAAATTTAAAAAGCACATTAATTAAAAAGTTTTAAATAATATTTTTTATATATAAAGAGGAAAATAAAAATGACTCATAAACATTCCACCCAAATGACTCCTGTTGGTGGTAATGGAATCGAAAGTGTAAGATAAAATAAAAACGACCTTCTATCCTTTCATCCCTGCTCTGTCCCTCTCTCCAGTGTTTTTTGTTTGTTTGTTTGTTTGTTTGCTTGCTTGATATGCTCTTGTCGCCCAGGCTGGAGTGCAGTGGTGCAATCTGGGCTCACTGCAACCTTCACCTCCCAGGTTCAAGCAATTCTCCTGCCTCAGCCTCCCAAGTAGCTGGGATTACAGGCATGTGCCACCACGCCTGGATAATGTTTTTGTATTTTTGGTGCAGACAGGGTTTCTCCATGTTGGTCAGGCTGGTCTCGAACTCCCAACCTCAAGTGATCCATCCCACTTGGCTTCCCAAAGTGCTGGGATTACAGGCGTGAGCCACTGTGGCCCGGCCTCTTCAATGTTGATGTTTTTGTGATTCCTTCCAGAAAAAAAAGATTTTTATTTATGTCTGTCCATCCTTCTATCTTTCTAATATTCTTTCTTTTTCTTTTTATTTTCTCGATGGAGTCTCCCTCTGTCACCCAGGCTGGAATAGTGCAGCAGCATGACCTTGGCTTACTGCCACCTCTGCCCCCCGGGTTCAAGTGATTCTCCTGCCTCAGCCCCCTGAGTAGGTGGGATTACAGGTGGGCACTACCATGCCCGGCTAATTTTTGTATTTTTAGTAGAGACAGGTTTTCACCATGTTGGTCAGGCTGGTCTCAAACTCCTGACACTGTGACCTGCCCACCTTGACCTCCCAAAGTGCTGGGATTACAGGCGTGAGCCATCATGCCTGGCCCTTCTAATATTCTTTACATAACAGTGGCCATACCATTAACACTGTTGTGCACTTCTGTTTTTTTAACTTAGCAATGTATCTTGGACTTGTTTCCCTATCAGCACATAACAGATTTACTTTAATCTTCTTAACGGTTCATAGGATTAATCACTGGGGTGTTCCAGTGTTTAGTCCTGCAATTAAGATTGCTATTAGAGCAATACCCAGTAGTAAATATCTTTGTCCATATACTTGGAAGACATTTATGAGTCCAGCCATAGGAGTACTACCAGTAGAGGGGTTGCTGGACAGTGAGTGTGTGCATTTTTAGGATTGAAGGCCAAAGCACTCTGCCCTAGAGAAAGGTTCCCTCCCACCACAAGGACGGGCATGCCTATTTCCCCAACACTCTTGCATGCAATGAAGATTACAGAAATGAAAAAGGAAAATATATTATTTCGATAGCAATAAAATATAGAATGACTAGAAATAAACTTGATAAATATGTACTGTGTGAAGAAAACTTTGGTATGCTCCAGAGGGACCCAAAGGAAGACTTGAACAAATCAAAATTTTGCCAGTTTCTTGCATGGGAACTTGCAGCATGGTGAAAATATTCATTCTTGGTTAAGCTATGATTTGAACATGACCCAATAAAAATACCCACAAAATTTTTTTTGGTGGGGGAAGGGGAATTTGATAACTTGATTTTTAAAGATCATTTAGAAAAACAAATTAGGAAGATTCAAAATAGAAACAGGAATACAGAAAGTTGTGAGAAATAGTTTAATCAGATGTTAGAACCTAATGTGAAATTAAAATTGTTTAAAGCAGTGTTTTATACAAATAGATAATTGGATCACAGTCATAAACTCATGTTTGGGAATCTAATAAATGATAAATGGCATATGATATGTGCCATCTCAAATCAATGAGGAAAAATAGCTAAACCCATTTGGTGGGGGGAAAGTTAAATTCATATTGCATGCTTTATGCAGAATAAATTCCAAATTGATCAAAGATTTACATGCAAAAAATGAAATAGGTATTACCAGAATTCACAAGATAATTGTTTTTTAACCCCAGGCCTTTCTGCTATGACATAAAACTCAGAAGCCATTGAAAGCAAGATTGGTAAATTCAGCTTTATTCAAAAAGTTCTTCGTGGAATCACTTGAACCCAGGAGGTGGAGTTTGCAGTGGGCCGAGTTAGCATCACTGCATTCCAGCCTGGGGGACAGAGTGAGACTTTGTCTCAAAAAAAAAAAAAAAAAAAACAAAAAGTTTTTCATGGCAAAACCTATCATATGCAAAGTCAGAAAACAAGCAACCAATTGGGGACAAATAAATAAAAACTAAACTTCCTAATATGTAAAGAGTTCTTACAAACCAGTAGAAATAAGATCCAGTGACCCAGTAGGACACCAGGCAAGATAATGGACAGACAGTTCACCGACAAGAAGACACAGCGTTTAAATATGAAATGCTCATTAAGAAAAAATACAAATTACATAATAAGATAAATATGTTACCATCTCACAGGGATCTTTTTATTTTTTCACTGAGAATAGTCAGAGTATGAGAAAAGAAACACCTTTATACATCACTGATGGCGGATAACTCCTTACTACTCTATGGAGAGAATCTGGCACTATCTGAAAAAATTACAGTGCACGTGTGTGTGCGTGTGTGTGTATTTACACCTCTGATTTTTAGTTTTTTTATTTTTGGTGGGTACATAGTAGGTGTATATATTTATAGGGCACATGAGATGTTTTGATACAGACACACAATGCATATTTTTTTAACCCAGCAATTCCACATCTAAGCATTTATTTTTATAGGTACTATAAGCGCACACATGTACAATCATGTAGGAATGATATTTTTCATTAATAGATTACTTATAAAAGCAAAAGTTTGCATATTCCATGGTATATCACACAACGGATCTGTAGGAAAGAATGAGGAAGAGCTCTGTGTACTGCTATGGAATAGTCTGTAAGAAAACTATACTGTTTTTTGGGGTTTTTCTGTTTTTGGTTTTGGTTTTGGGGGGGGGGTTTTGAGACAGTTTCACTCTTCTTGCCCAGGCTGGAGCGCAGTAGTGCAATCCCCAACCTCTGCCTCCTGGGTTCAAGTGATTCTTCCACCTCAGCTTCCTGAGTAGCTGGGATTACAGGCGCCCGCCACCACACTTGGCTAATTTTTTGTATTTTTAGTAGAGATGTGGTTTCACCGTGTTGGCCAGTCTGGTCTCAAACTCCTGACCTCAGATGATCTGCCTACCTCGACCTCCCAAAGTGCAGGGATTACAGGTGCGAGCACTGCACCTGGCTAAAAAGTATACTGTTGATTGATAAAAATTGATTTTAAAAAGCCAGGTGTGTAATGTTATGCTGACATTCTAGAAGAGAAGGGAAATATATAGGCCTATTTACTTTTGTATGAATTATTTGATGGTTAATGCACATACACACACAAAAATAATAATGATTGCCTCTAGGGAAGTAAATGTAGGAGGCAGAGGACAGGGCTAGGATGTAGACTTTTCACTGAATACACATTTGTACCTTTTGACTTTTGAACCTTGTTTGCTCTTCTCAAAAATAAGTAAATTTAAAAATCCAAGTTTGAAAATAATTCAGTAGGTAAAAATCTGGTTTTGATTTGTGTAATTCTTTCAAATGTTGGTTAGGCTTTCACATTTTTTAGGCAATTGCCTATTCATATGTTTTGCCCATTTAAAAATTATTTTGGGGTGGGGAGGGTTTAGCAAATTAAGGAAATCAGCCCTTTGTCTTAAGGGTTTCAGAAATTTGTTCCAGTTGGTCTTTTGACTTTGTTTATGCTGCTTTTTGCCTCCTAGTATTTTTATATTTGCTCAATATAGTTTTCTTCTTTTCCCTTTCCTTCTTCTTTTCTTTCTTTATATATGTTTTTCTTTCTTTTAGGCGGTGGAAATGACTTGTTCATTGTGATCACTGAGAAGATGACTCTAGATCTAAGACATTCCATTATTATTTTATATCATTTGATTTTTGAGAGTGTCTCACTCTGTTGCCCAGGCTAGAGTGCAGTGACCTCTAGAGTGCATGGCTCCCTGCAACCTCCACCTCCCTGGCTCAACTACACTCCCACCTCAGCCTCCTGAGTAGCCAGGACCACAAGCACTGGCTAATTTTTGGGTTTTTTAATTTATTATTATTATTTTTTTAGAGACCAGGTTTCACCATGTTGCCCAGGCTGGTCTCAAACTTCTGGGCTCAAGCTATCCATCTGCCTCAGCCTCCCAAAGTGCTGGGAGCCACCACACCTGGCTGACATCCGGTTATTAATGCCTTTGGGTGATTTGTAAAATGACAGCCTACCTATAAAGTCTGTTTGAAGACAGTAAAAACTGGGACAAATTCATTTTAACAGTGACCTAGAGGATCCTCCCCTAGGGCAAGGGGAGAGGGGCTTGGGCAGCGCTGTGTGGGCCTCATGGTCGGTCTCTGATGAGCCTCTCCTCTCTCCACTCCAGCGGAACTCCCTGGGTCCTCAGCGGTGAGGCTGGCCTCCCTGCGTGACCTGCCCGCCCAGCTCCTGGAGCTGTACCAGCAGGGCTTCTCGCTGGCAGCCCTGCACCCCTTCGTGCAGCCCACTCATGAGAGGGAGAAGACACCCCTGGAGCACATCTTTAGGGCCATCCTGATCAAGAAAACCGACAGGTAAGGCCTCTGTGGATGAATGGTAGCATCCTGTTGTGGATAAGGTGTGCTCAATAGAGGAGGGGAAGTGAGAGGATGGGCTCCGGTGAGGGGGTTGAAATTTGCATGCTGTCCTCGGGGCCTCTGTCCTCAGACAGGTGAGGCAAAAAGCCAGACAACCAGAGAGATTTCTTAGCATCCTGCGATGAAAAACAAATGCCATGTCCAAATGCAAGTAGAGAGCTTCATTTTACATTCTTTGCCTCTTTTAACTCACTGGATTAAACTCAGCTAGAAAAATGTCTCCTCGAAAGAAGTATACGCCCAGAATGCTGCGGCTAGTAAAAGTGTAATACTTTCACACCAAAAGACATGGCTGGAAAATGCAGTAATTTCATGCAAAGGCTATGTACAAACTGTCTTCCCCACAGTCTAGAAATACTTTAAAATGTTGAGCCCACCATAAATTCTGTCAATCACTTGACAGTTAAAAAAAAATACAAAAAATAAACACCACCTAAATAAAATGCTATATTTGGTTTGGTCTTGATTTAGATTTTCAGGGTTTGGGGGTGTTTTTCAGTTGGCTTGCCCGGTTGAATGCTTATGCCTATATTTCCATTGGGCCTAATTAAGGAAGGAGAAGTGGGGTTAGTCTTTCAAAAGGAGCAATATTAATTTTGTTTATTTTTTTAAACAATGAGGATAGGATGGAGAGCGCAGCATGTTTTTGCTGCTTTCATAAAAATTAAAATGAGTCTGGGAAAGGAAATCAGATTTGTCTTTTGGCCAACTATCATAGAACGAATGACAACATGTGCCACACTTTAAAGAGAGAGTGCAGAGCAACTCCTCCTCTTCCTCCCTTTTTAAAGTCACTTTACAGGTAGACAAAGCATTTGGCTGGTGTCCTCATGAGGGACGGCTGTGAGGCATGAGGTTGCGTGACTAAGACTGACTCCTCTTTCCTTTCCTTTATTTCTTCATGGTTGATCAAGCTCTGGGGCCCTTAGTCTACAGCAACACACATTAGATTTTGAAGTGAAAGGTGGTGCATGTGTTTGCTCAAACCCAGAATTCACACATTTTTTGGTAGGGTGATTTTTCTCAATGTCTGCCTTTTATGTGTATTAGTTTCTCTCTCTCTCTCTCTCTCTCTCTCTCTCTCTCTCTCTGTCTCTCTCTCTCTGTCTCTCCCTGTCTCTCTCTGTCTGTCTCTCTCTCTCTGACTCTCTCTGTCTCTCTCTCTCTCACTCTCTCTGTCTCTCTCTCTCTCTCTCTCTTTCTGTAGAAATGATGTCTTGCTATATTGCCTAGGCTGGTCTCGAAATCCTGGCCTCAAGCAATCCTGCCACCTTGGCTTCCCGAACCACTGGGATTACTGGGCCCGGCTGCACATTGGTTTCTTTTCTTTTCTTTTTCATTTATTTGAGATGGGGTCTCCCTCTGTCACCTAGCCTGCAGCACATGGCATGATCTCAGCTCACCGCAACCTTCGCCTCCCAGCCTCAAGCTGTCCTCCCACTTCAGCCTCCCAAGTAGCTGGGACGACAGGCGCACACCACCACACCTGGCTAATTTTTGTATTTTTGTAGAGACCGAGTTTCACCATGTTGCTCAGACTGGTCTGGAACTTCTGGGCTCAAGAGGGTCTCCTGCCTCAGCCTCCCAAAGTGCTGGAATTACAGGTGTGAGCCACCACGCCCAGCCCATTATTGGTTTCTTTATGTTGATTGGCTGTTGATTATGATCTGGGTCAATCACAAGAAGAAACGATTCTGGAGGCTGCAGGGGTTTTAAGTGACACTGACACACAGGATATGTATAATGACAGTAGCTCATAGTGAGTGAGCACTCACTGTGTGCCATGCTTTGTCATTTACCATTTTATCCGTATCATACGCCTATGAAATAAGTGTCACTTTTGTTCCCATTTTAAAGGTGGAGAAAACTGAGACACAAATGTTGAGCTGTTAAGGTCACACAGATGGCAGCAAGCAGAGCTCTGCCGTGCTCCCAGGAAGCCTGACTCCTATACCTGCATTCTTAATCAAGGCATGAAGTGCGCGCTGTGTTCCTTTATTCACAATTCTTGTGTAGAAACACTTAGGACAAAAAGCGAGGGAGGAAATCTTTGATCTTCCGTGAAGAAATACTTTTATTCTCAACCTTTCCCCCATGTTACCCCTCAGTAGTCTGTAAGTAAATCAGAATTTCAGCAAGGAAACAAAATAAAACTGACAAATGCATTGTATGGATGACATAAGGCATCCACTGGGCCCCAGTGATTCTATTCTGGAGATTACCCAGTTGGCCTTAGTGTTTAGAGGTGCCAAGTCCATTGGGGTCAGATCACCAGCACATCCTTCAGCGTGATCTGCCATGGGAGGTGACGTGAGCTCAGGACTTGGCCAGAGCTTAACTCACGAAGTGAAGATGCATCTTTTTTTTTTTTTTTTTTTTCCTGCCATGGAGCAACACTTCTCAGACTTCAATATGCCTGTGAGTCTCCTGGGGATATGGTTAAAGAGCAGAGTCTGATATGGTCGGTCTCGGGGGAGGCCTGGCACTCCACATTTCTAACTCGTTTCCAGATGGGGCAGATGCTGGTGGTCCGTGGCATGCACTCTGAGTACCAAGGGTGTAGAGGACCTGATTCTTGCCTGGCTTCATGCCTGGCACTCAGCAACACTATTGGGGCTTGCCACTTTACTCCCAGGAGAGCTGTAAGCACCAAGCTAGGTAAGAAAGAACACGGGACTCGTGGCCAGAAGGCCTGTGTTCTAGGCAGCACTTGGCTACTGGTAAGCAGTGTTGTGCAGGGGGCACATGAGTGGATCTTTCTGGGCCTCCATTTTCTAGCTGTTACAATGAGGGGCTGGTACTACATGATTTGCAAGGCTTGTACCAAACTCTAAGTTATCCGATGGGGCAAGGTGGGTGAGGGAGCCCCTCTTCAGAAATAAGAACCCCCACTTTGGGGAATAGTGCATTACAAGCCAGCAGTGAAGCTGGGGGCTCAATAGGGGTTCTTTACTTCCACCGATGGCAGCATGAACAAATGAACTTACTTTCCAGAAGACAAAAAGGGGCAAACTATTGAGGAAAATGAGACATTGCATGCACAAGGGTTTTCAAGAAAGGGAGGTTGGCAGTCTTCTTGGGTTTGAGCACACTCTAGTCCAGAGCTCCTGAACTGCCTGCCGGATGACCTCAATGAACATTTCAACTCCTGCACAAGCAGATCCAGAGAAGGAAATTCCTTGGGTAACTCTGCGTTGCGTCTTTGGAACTGCCTTTTTTTTTTTTTTTTTTAAGAAAACTGCAAAAGTTTGGTAATTTATCATGTAAATTGAGGCAAATATGATCAAGAGGTTCACCTCCACTTCCACCTCCAACAGTATTGGGTGGGAGGAGTGTGGAGGTTGGAAGAAGAGTCATTGTAAAACGTAATTTTTAAGTACAGGTATTTTATCTCCTAGAAAATGCAATAACTTCATTTTTTTTTTTTTTTTTGGTTTTGAGGAAAAGAACCCAACGATCTTAAAAATAAGCAAACAAAAAACAACAGGGCCAGGCACAATGGCTTACGCCTGTAATCCCAGCACTCTGGGAGGCCAAGGCAGAAGACTCTCAAGCTCAGAAGTTCCAGACCAGCCTGGGTAACATAGCAAGATTGAGTAGCTACTAAAAGTTTTAAAAATTAGCTGGGTGTAGTGGCGCACACCTGTAGTCCCGACTACCAGGGAGGCTGAGGTGGGAGAACTGCCTGAGCCCAGGAGGTGGAGGCTGCAGTGCGACGTGACTGTGTTACTGCACTCCAGCCTGGGCGACAGTGAGACCCTGTCTCAATAAAACAAAACAACTGAAAAAAAAAAAAAAAGCCCAGAAAAAACCCAGAACTTTTTATCAGTAGGGAATTTAAGTAGTAAAAACAAAACAAAGGAAGACTTATGTGATTAATTTTTAATTCAGACAGTTAAAACGATGCTTTTCACAGTCTGCCAGAGTTCTGACAGCTATAGATGCCGTTAAATGAAATGACTTAGCTTGTAAAAGGGAAAGAAATGCTTGGTTAATATTTTTCGTTAAAAAAATTTTTTATTGCATTTTAGGTTTTGGGGTACATGTGAAGAACATGCAAGATTGTTGCATAGGTACACACATGGCAGTGTGATTTGCTGCCTTCCTCCCCATCACCTATATCTGGCATTTCTCCCCATGCTATCTCTCCCCAACTCCCCACCCCCTGCTGTCCCTCCCTATTTCCCCCCTACAGACCCCAGTATGTGATGCTCCCCTCCCTGTGTCCATGTGTTCTCATTGTTCAACGCCCACCTGTGAGTGAGAACATGTGGTGTTTGATTTTTCTGTTCTTGTGGCAGTTTGCTGAGAATGATGGTTTCCAGGTTCATCCATGTCCCTGCAAAGGACACAAACTCATTGTTTTTTATGGCTGCATAGTATTGCATGGTGTATATGTACCACATTTTCCCTGTCCAGTCTATCATCAATGGGCATTTTTCAAGTGGAGCACACTGAAAGAGATACACTTTCTAGGTTACTGTTGGCCCAAACGAAGTTCATTGCAAGAATCACCATGAGATGACTGTGTGAAACTTCAGTATCAACCTAATGTGTTTGATGGGTTAACGTAAAGTTTTTAGCAAATAATTGGGCTTGGGCTATGCCAGAACCACCAAACAGAACCCCTCAAGCCTGCATTGATCCCCTCACTCATTCACAAGTACTTGCTGAGCATGTATTCTTTTCAGGCCATGGTGCTAGGAGCTCTATGCAGTGGGAAGTTAGAGGCTGCAAGTGCTGGGCTCAGTTGAACATGGAGCCTGCCTTCCAGGTACTTGCAGTCTAACTAAGTAAGTGAGATACGTGTCTCATGCCACCTCCCACGGGAAGGGAAACCAAGGATATGTTTCCGGAGAAGCAGCTTTAACTTGGGCCTGATTTCTTTTGGGCAAACATGGGGAATAATGAGCATGAGGCAGGAAGAGTTTATTTAC